GATGTAAAGAGACCAAGTAATGCAGTCTAGTAAACAGAAGCATTTGAAACAGGTCTGATATGTCTAACAGAGTCAGGAGAAATTAATACTTTTTGTAGATTGTACACATACACACAATTAAACATATATACATATATGTGAGGAGGCAGAGAAGAGGGAGTGGGAGAGAGTAAAAATGAAAAAGGAATCCTGATAAAAGTCACGGTAATTCATTCTAGTACTGTAGATGTAAAAATTATGAAATGTACTTTTTTCAGCCATTAAATCTATTTGCTAATGACTTTTCCTCATTTTTAAATTTTAAGGTAACAAGACTTTCCTTTAAGATACAAATACAAATAAACATTTTCTTTGACTCTGAGAATAGCTTATTTTGGCTGAGATTTTTATTTTAGAATTAGTTTTTTGATGTGTATGTTTTTCATTCTTTGGAAAGAAACATAAAATTAAATATAAGTTTAAAAATGTCTTGACTTTTTAAAAGTTTTTATTTCAATTCCACTAAGTTAACATACAGTGTAATATTAGTTTCAGGTGTACAACATAGTGCTTCAGCACTTTCATAAGTCACCCTGTGCTCATCACAACAAGTGCACTCCTTAATCCCCATCATCTAGTTCACCCATCCCCCACCTGTCTTTCCTCTGGTAACCCCCAGTTTGTTCTCTAAAAAAGAATGTCTTGACTTTTAAATTTCTGTAAGTTCCATGGCTACTTCTCAGGTTTGAATAACCTGAGAACATCCGTTTATTTTCCCTTAAGAGCAGGGAAGATTTTTAGCTTCTTTCTGTTACAACCTGAGTTAGTTGAGAATTTCATTTTTTTCAGGGACTAAACAGAACTCTGTTCATAGAAGTTTCTCTCAATTGGTGCCCCTTTTCTCTTTAACATACACTTTACCTTTCAATGATTCAGATACACGGAGAAAGAGGCAGAGTACCTGAGCAAGTAAGTGGTGGCTAAAGAAAACAAAATTCGTTTTAGAAGTAGTCAGGTAGTCAGGGGTGAGGAAAGTTCTGTTGGTTCCCATTCTTCTCTGTCCAAATACTTTCCTAGGACTTGCCAATGTTTAAAAGCCCACAATTAGAGCTTAATGTATTCCAGAATTAGTGCTCCATGCCTCCACTGGTTTGAGCTAAACAGGAACTCTCCTTGGACTTTTTTTTTTTTTTTTGGACGGGGAGCTTATTTTTTCCAAGCAAAATAGTATTGTCTATATTAAAAATATATTAAATTAATGATATTCAAAGAAAAGGACACTTTGCTTACCTAGGATGGTTACTTCAAAATGTCCAAGGCTTAGGGCACTCTTAAAGTCCTCAAGGTTTGGGGGCCTTCCCTCAGGTGGTATGTACTTTGCAGGCTGAGAATTAAACTGCTCAGTAAGAAACTTCCTCTGCTCGAAAATAAATTTTCGTGGAATACTTTCAGGATAAACATGGCTGTAATGCAGGTGATCAATTAAGCCAAACTTTTTCTCTCTCCACAGCTGACTTTCCCACCTATCGCTTATAGTTCTTTTGGCTTTTCCTGTGGTACTGGTGCTTGCGCTTTCTTGACCTATTAAAGAAAAATGAGATAGATACAATGGACTTGCAAACTAATCCAATTAAATCATTCAGTACAAAAAAGTATAGATTAATGAGGAATAGCTTAATTAACTTTAAAAATCAAATAACCACATATAAAATGTAAATTGAATGTCCAAAAGATAATTCTTATTAAAGAGAAGAGAGAATGAAATTCATTTCAAAATAAACTTTTCCTTCAAAATATTAGAAACTGATACTGTTTTTCTCTGTTGCTGGAATTATGAAGATTTGTAATTACCTTCCTTACATGTTTTCTGTATTTTCTAAACTCTCTTAAATAAACATATATTCCTTTTATATTCAATGACAAATTCAAGTTAAGTCCAATTCATAACTGTTAGAGATGTGACCACCACTCACTATTGGTGGAATTTAAGCTTCAAATAAAATTTGTTAATTTTTGCTAAAAGGAGCCTGAACAGACACAAAATACAGTCTTCTTCATGGATATACTCTCCTTCAAGAAAATCACTTATTATATATGATACTCCTTTCTGATCTAAATAACATGGAAAACAAAGAGGGAACTAAACTCAGATGAAAAATCCCTTCAATTCTTGATTGTTTTCTATCGTCAAGTCAATTTATCACTTACGTACAGTTTATCTAACACATTCAGTTTCTAAGGCAGAATATAATTTCTCCCCTACACATTATGACATTCATTCATTCTTTCTTTCATTCAACAAATAATTAGTGAATACTTAATATATATATTCCAAATACTGTGCTAAAGAATTTGGTAAAATAATATTTTAATTGAATAATACACCCTAGGAGCTGAAGGCACATGACATAATCAGAAAAAAATAGATATTGGAAACAGACTCTCATGTTGTCAGTTCTGCTAGCTGAGACAAGCTGACAGCAACTCTGTTCCAGAATTTACCAAGGTTGCTGAATTGCTTCCTTGCAGGTGGCCCATGCCTTGGTGCTCATTATTATCCTAGGTTAAAGAACCATGCTAGCGCTGAAGGGGGTTTCAATAGCAAAGTTTCAATGTCATTGATACACAACTTCTGCTTTTGAAATATACCCTATTCTCACACCACTTTTTTTTTAAACCTCCCCAGAGACTTACTAAAAATTTCTTATGGGGTAAAGTTCTAGACTGAGTTGTAAGTGAAGATAAAGAAGTTGAATACACATTTCTTATTCTCTAAGAACTCAAACCACTGTAATATTATAAGAGTTTAATTCAAAATTCAGTTATCAACACACTTAATCTCCTATAATAATGCTTGATAACAAAAAGGATAAAAAGGTAATTGCACATGAAAAAGAATGAAATTAATCAAAGCCAAGAGAAAAACCCAGTTAACAGGATTAAACTGAGAACTGTAGAATGATTTAATCTTTTTTATTTTCTAAAATAGGCTTCCTTTCCCCAAGCTGATTAAAGTACATAATTAGAACAACAGTAAGTAGCTATTACAATGACTCAAGTTATAGTGAACATTTCTGACTTATTCTAAAATATAGCATGCAAAAAAACAAGTTATAAGCTATTCCAATTTTTAAAAATTAAATAATCACATCTACCTTACAGGAAAAAAAAAACCTTATGACTGACCCCCTTCAGGAATAAGTCAAAATATTTGCTATGCTTTGTTTGAGTATTGGTATCAAGGACTAGCAAGGTATAAATTTTTATCTGAAAAATTCCTCTGAAAATTCTGCTTTCTTTTTTATTTTAGTAACTTGGGACTGTAAGTACCTACCCTGATTATATGTTCACAATTATTACAAATGGGCATGATCTCAATATAAGAGATACTGTCAGTCACTGTTTGTGAATGGCAAGATTTTCAAGGCAATAATTAGGAGACAAAAATACGTCTAGAATTCACATTTTTCGAAAAATATGATGGAAAATTATGAACTGGAATTCTTTTATTTTTAGTTTGAATACTACTAAAATTACTATGTGAAACACATTATGTTTTTAAGCCTAATGCACAACAAAGATACAGGTTAATTACCCAACAAAATTATGTTTTTGTATATATATGTATACATATATATATACACACACACATATATACATGATTATATGTTATAATCATAACTTATTTTAATGATTCATTTTACCCTAATTTCTGGTGAGAGTAGACTTATATTTTAGTGGAGAAAATTTTAGTAGAAGACCACATTAAAGTTGTGAGGTTAAAAAAAAACCCAACATATTATAAACATATGTATGTAAGCATGGTGATTTTGTTTCTTCACAAAATCTACTCTGAGCATTTTATTATATGGATAAAAATGATGGGCGGGGATGTATGGAGGCATTTGGGAGGGTGAGGAGCTATTTTCTTTGCCTCTTCCCCGCTTACATCAACTAACTTCAACTTGGTGTAAGAGCTACAAGGCTAGAAAAGAACAGGGTACTTTTCATTCAGTAGCAAGTATAAAATAGACTTTTTAAAAAAATGTGTAACTCAGAGGCTACCTGTAATGTTTTGTGATCTCAATAATACTGTTACTGTCATACTCAACAGTGAAAAATTGAAAGCATTTTCTCTAAGAACAGGAACAAGACAGGATATCCTCTCTCACCACTTTTCTTCAATAGAATATTGGGAGTCTTAACCACAGCAATAAGGCAAGAAAAAAAAGGCATCTAAATTGGAAGGGAAGAAGTAAAACTGCCACCATTTGCAGATGATGTAATATATACATTCCTAAAGTCTGCACCAAAAAAAAAAACCAAAAAAACCAAAAAACCAAAAACAAAAAACCCCACAAAAAAACCAAAAACCAGTTAGAACTACGAAACAAATTCAGTAAAGATGAAGGATACAAAACCAATATACAAAAATGCATGGTATTTCTATGCTCTAGTAACTATCAGAAAGAGAAATTAAGAAAGCAATCTCATTTACAATTGCACCAAAAGGAAAAAAATACCTAAAAATCAATTTAACCAAGGTAGTGAAAGACCTGTACTATATAAGACACTGATGAAAGAAACTGAAGATGACACAAACAAATGGAAAGATAGTCTCTGTTCATAGACTGGAAAAATATTGTTAAAATGTCCATACTACTCAAAGCAATCTACAGATTCAATGCAATCCCCATCAAAATTCTAATGGCATTTCCCACAGAGCTAAAACAAGTACTTCTAAAATTTGTATGGAACAAATAAAGATCCTAAATAGCCAGGGTAATCTTTAGAGAGAATAACAAAGCTGAAGGTATCATACTGGCAGATTTCAAACTATAGTACAAAGCTTATAGTAATCAAAACAGTATGGTGCTGGCATAAAAACAGACACACAGATCAATGGAAGAGAACTGAGAGCCCAGAAAGAAACCCACATATATACAGACAATTAATTTATGGCAAAGGAGCCAAGAGCATACATTGGAGAAAGGACAGCTGTTTCAATAAGTGGTGCTGAGAAAACTGGATAGCCCCATGGAAAAGATGAAACTAGACTAACTTACACCATACAGAAAAATTAACTCAAAATGCATCAAGATTTGAATGTAAGACATGAAACCATAAAATTCCTAGAATAAAACATAGGCAGTAAGCTCCTAAGGCACTAAGACATCAGTCTTAGAGATGTGTTTCTGTATCTGACTCCAAAGGCAAGGGAAGTAAAAGAAAAATAAACAAATGGGATTACATCCTACTAAAAAAGTTTTGCACAGGAAAGTAAACCATCATCAAAACAAAAAGGCAACCTACTCAATGGGAGGAGATATTTGCGTATATCCAATGAGGAATTAATATCTAAAATACAGAAAGAACTCATACAACTCAACAATAAAAAGAACTGATTTAAAAGGGGCAGAAGATCTGAATAGACATTTTTCCCAAAGAAGACATACAGATGGCCAATAGGCACATGAAAACAAGTTCAAACCACTAATTACTAGGAAAATGCAATCAAAACCACAGCAAAATATCACCTCAAACCTGTTGGAATGGCTATTAGAAAAAAGACAAGAGATAACTATTGGAGAAGGTGTGGAGAGAAAGGAACCCTCACATACTGTTGGTGGAAATGTAAATTAGTGTAGCTGATAGGAAAACAACATGGAGCCTTTTAAAAAAAATTAAGAATAGATTTATCATATAGATCTAGCTGTTCCACTTCTGGATATTTATCCAAAGAATACAACACCACTAATTTGAAAAGATATATACATCCTTATCTTCATTGTCACATCATTTACAGTAGCTCCAATAAACATCTTAGAGCATGTCTCCTTGTGTACTCAACAAATAGGTCAGAGGGTATAACATATTTAGTATTGTCAAATTACTCTCAAAAGTAGTAGTACAACATTTATATGAGAAAGGGGAGCATGACTCATTTTCTTTGAAATACACACATATCTGCTTATATTATAAAACAAACAATGGAAAAATACATTATAGAATGAATTAAAAAGTTACCTACAGTGGGTGAGAAGGAATCAGGTGCAAGGAACAGGGATAAAAGATAAACTTCTTTAAATATATATTCTTTTTCTATATTTGACTATTGAACTATGAAAATAATTTAGAAAATTAAGTATTTATTTAAAGAAATCAATCTTTAAGCATCAAAATAAAAGACATGAACCTAAATTTCTATCTACTTGATAGTATACCCATACAGAGAGAAATATCACAAGTGGCTTTAAAGAATAATAATTCATGAATCCCTAGTTGGCATATTCAAAGACAAAATAATCGCAAAACACACAAAACAAACCTTAAATTTTTTCTAGTAAAATTGTTGTTACAAATGTTGAGGTGATTATTCTGGAACTGTTTTTATATGTGGTGAGTGAAAGCAAATAAACTACTATGTAATATTCTGATTCTAACATCTCCAGGGTCTTCAGAGCCAGGATTCTTGTAATGAAAAGAAGCTTCTTCTATCTTTATCACCTAAGTCAAAATTCTGTAGTTATGAATTTGAATTGAAAATATAAAAATGAAATGATGACATATTTTGTTTTAAC